TCACCACCCAGCTGAACCCATAATAGCTTGCTAAAAGAGGCCCTGCCTTCTTGGTGCCCACGGAGCAGAGAGCAAAAACAAAAAATTCTGTATGTATGTAAAGTTTTTATTTTATACTAGCAGCATTGCTTGGACAAAAAGTAACAATAGCAAAGATTAAGATTATTAGATTATAGCCGATCGTACCCATTTTCACCAAGTGCAAGAATAGGTACCCCTCTTCTGAGACTAATTAGAACATTTTTAGCTATCTGCTTACTACACTGGAATAACGATAATTAAGACTCACTGCAACCACTAACCGGTGCATAGTACCAGTAAGTGATGAACCCAAAAAGAGTTACGAAAATGTTTATAATAATTCTTCAGGTTTACTAAATTTGAAAAATAAGCTGGATATTCCAGAATCATTCATAAGTATAAACTCAAACATTAAGACGGAGTTATGAAGCGAACTTATGCACATGCACTCCCCGTGTCAACTTTATATATGATGGAACACTAAATATCGTTGAGAATTTTTTTGAAGGGTTTAAAAATATGTTCGATTTCCCACATAAATGCAAGAAATGCATCTAAAATAGTACAGTAGAGCAGAGTTCTTCGTGATAGCCTTAACCCTCTCCCCCACGGTGGGAATTTTCAAAAAATCCCTTCTTAGTGTATGTTCTTGTGACGTACCCTAACTGTGTACCAAATTTCAACTCCTAACCGTTTGGGTTCTGCGCTTATTATCATCATAATTATCAACCCATCTCAATTATATTATAAGATTCGGATGATATTTTCATTCATAAAACAGTCCAAATTGCTTAAAATGTAAATATATTTTAATATTTATAATATCAGTACTCGTAATTTAACAAATCTGCTTTAATAAAAAGTATTGTAAATTAAAGTAGATTTGTAATTTATAACATTATATATATAAAATAGAATTTGATATTGAAATGATTAAAATATATTTATTATTCACCAATTATACAGTATTTATCATAAGCCACTTATAATAAATTATTAAATTAAAATAATAATTCTTGCACAGTAGGCATCATAGTAAATTAAGTTGTTTATAAATACATCTCACAGTAGACTACATTTAATATTCTATAATATAAATATTATATTAAATATGCAATTGCAAACTAAGTTTCATGCAATTAAATAAGTAATAACATAAATTGTTTAAATCAAAATATGCTGTCTTAATTAATATCTGAAATGATATACTTAATCTGATTTTCAGGTACATATTCCTGATGATCAGTGAGGAAAAACTAGAGTTGATGGAACTAGAAAATTGAAGCATAATGCCATCCCTTCCAAATTTTCTTATGCACAGCCTAAAAAGTATAGAAAAGCTCCACCAGTAAGAAACCCACTTTCTTCAAAAGCCTATAAAATTTCAAGAGATGATGCAAGTTCTGTCGAACAAGCATCAAGTTATGAACCGGCAACAGATAATTTTCAACATGATAATTCTACAATTTCAATGGAGATTTCAGTTATGAGAAATGTAAAGATAAAATAATTGACGAGTTATAAAGCATAATATTGAAAAAGGATAAAATAATTTGATTAATTTAAATTATAATTTAGAATCTTCATAAAAGATTAGTTAGGAACAGAAGACAAAAATTTAGTTTGCCAAAATGATAAGAAAATTAAGACGGCTGTACAAAACATATTTAGAGGATAGTCGATCCTCTTTAAATGTGTTTATCGAAGATCGATGCATTTTAAAAATTGGTCCAATGAAACAGTACATACAGCATTAGGATTGAGATTTAGCAGTGTTCAAAGAGTTATGACAGCTTACTCAAATGCAATCTGCCTTATCTGTCTAAGAACCTTACGTAGACGACTGGAAGACTTAAAATTTGAAAGTGGAATACTGCACAAAGTGTTTGATTTTTTTTAAAATAAAGAAAAGAAAATTTTGTTTCCATACCATCAATGTGTTTTCATTTTGGATGAAACATCACTAACTCCAAGCAGTGATTGTGACCCAAGAATAAGAATTATGGTAAGGTAACATTCATTAGTCTATGTTAAGTGGTATATTTACAAGGTGGAAACAGACCATTGCATACTTTCATACTAGCAACTCAACAGATGTTTTAAAAAATATAATTCTTGACATACACCCTTTGTCAGAAAAGTTTTAGGAAAAGCTTGTAGAAAATAGAAAATTGCAATTACCAAGTAATGATCCTAGCTCCTGTCAAAGTAATCCCCTCAGTTTTCTACACAATTGTCAATGTTTCAGCTGCTTAATGAAATGTCCCTTTCAGTTGCAACCCTTTGTCAGAAAAGTGTGATTTTTTTCTTGTTTCCACGAGTGAAAAGGCAGGAAAATGAAAGGGACACTTCATCAAGATATCACAAACATCCAACAGACCGAGACAAATGAGCTAACAAACATCACACTTGAAGCTTTCTCTGCTTGCTTCCAAGACCTCCAGAAACATTGGCAATTGTGTATAGATAGCTGACGGGACTACTTTGACAGGAGCTAGGATCATTACTTGGTAATTTCAAATTTTCTATTTTTTACAAGCTTTGTCCTGGAACTTTTCTGAAAAACAACAGTATAATTAATAGTGAAGACGTGGGATTAGTTGTCAATGCTATAACATCTGATATGGATCTATAAATCATGCAATATGGAAGGCCTTTGGCATTGTTAGTGGAAAATTTAGTAAATGTGTATATTATTGTTTAGGAGAAACCATTGAGTTTATTGCTGATCCAGTGCTTCCTTTTAAAAATATTTTTGTAATGTTAAAATATCTACAGTATAGTAGACCCCCCTATAACACAGGTTCATATAACGTGGATACGAACATGGCAAAAAAATTTTGACTGTGTTCGTATAACATGCTAAAAGAGACTCGTATAACACAGTAAAATGTCATCACAGGCTCATGTCGCAACAGGATTGGTCAAATCTGGACCAATAGCGGACACTGCACAAACCGTTGAGTTTAAACGAGCAGCGGACCTACTAAAAACTATTTATTATTTAACAGCCATAAAAATTATATTTATATTAATGATGCCTCCAAAGTTCAGCAAATTTTTTACGGCAAAATAACTTATCAGGAAACACGCGCCTGAAACCATTCAATGAGCTGCTCCGTGACGAAAACAAGCTTAAGCAATGGCACAAACTCGGTAAGTAATCCTACAATTTTTTGTTTATAGCATAGTTTATATGGATTATTCCCAAAAAATTATACATGATTTGGAAATGTTGAGTCAAATTAGTCTAGAATCGATTAATTTTATGGAAGAAAACCTTTCAAACAGCCGTAGCCGCTAAACTGCACATATGCCGGGCTGTGATTGGCTCATGTATTTAAGTGACTCGTACAACACGGAATTCGTATAACACAGAACATATCTACTGTGTTATAAGGGGGTCTACTGTACTTAGTTATATGTTTTTTTGAAATTTACAAATAAAATCAAATTTTTATTATTCATTTTTCTACACAAATAAAAATTATATAAAAGGTAAGAAATTAAATGAAAACTATCATTTCTTTTATAATTTTAAAAATAAATGGCATTATTTTTACCCAGTGAGTAGGCAAGGGATGAAATACTTTTGTTCTCTGAGACATTTCGTATAATTTTATATTTATTCAATCTATTTTTATTAGAACATAACATAAAACAACTTTAATTATTAACATTCGGAATATTTAAAAAAAATTAAAAACTGGCTCGTCACTTATTGCGTCGGGTAAACATCAAACAAATTCCAAACATTATTAATTAAATAGTATATTAAATAAACAAATAATAATAGTAAAAATTAATTCTAAAACTCAAAAATGACATTTATATTTCTTTTGCCTGAATTTCCATTTAAATAAGTGCTAGTTTATTTCTGTTTCCTCGACTTAGTATAGTATGTGACTGTGGCTAAGTAAGCAGTTTGGAAAAGATGTGGCAGCAGCTATCTGTATAACCACTCTCTAATGTCACCCAATTTTTGTAATATAGAAATGGGGGAAAAGTGTATCTTATCTATCATGGTTTTCTGCCGTTTTCACAGTAATTTAACTAAGATTGAATACAGATTACTACGATAAGTACTGTACAATAGCTCTATCTAAAACTACAAATAATGTAAATTCATATTTTATTTTAGTTGAAAATAATGCCCATTTGTTTTGCACCTAGTTGTCAGTCAGGCTACAATGTAATAAAGGTGATGGAAAATCTTGAAGGGACAAAACAAATTTTGACAAATAAATTCAAATGTTGTTGCGTTTTATTGAACCGTTCCCAATAGTTTTTGATGATGGTATATCTATAAAGAGGTGCCACACTAATACGTTAACTACTTTTGATGCTGTATCCCTAGAGAAGACTAGACCGAATTTACTCGAGTTAAGTTGTTTTAACCACGTGTAAACTTTGTGATGGTGCCATATTCTATTGATACCACATATTTTTATTAAGATGACGTTGATAATGCAATGTTGTAATTAACTGTTTTAGTTTACCATAAGGAAAAGATTATTTCTTGTCTTGGCAATCATTGCTCGTAAATGGTAATAAATATGAGGGCATGCTTGGTCTGATTCGATTTCTATCTCTCTGACTTTTCGGGTAAAAAGCGATGTATCTTTCTGATCCATTGGAGCATGGTCAGACGGGCTGTTGTAAATTGGTAAACAAATGTGATTATTAACAATTGTTAAACAGATGGTTTCTGCCAAAGTAGATGGTATGTCTTTTATGTTAAAATAGCCACGAGTGGCATCCTCCTACTTTTGAAGTTAATCCCGTTGGACAAAACATGGTGATCTGACAGTGGGTGGCTGCATCAAAAGTAGTTCTCTAGAAAATGCAATGTTCTAGAGGCATTAGCCTCTCCGATGTCAATTCTAAAGACGAGAATATGGATCTCGACTTAACATGCCCGAAAGGGGAAGTGACACTGTTTCCCATTTCAAAATTCTGTGGTAAAAAAATGAGACAAATTCTATGGAAAATGTTAATTATTTTACTCTCGTTAATTTCTGTTACACTTTAAACAACTCTCTTCTGTGAGCAATTTACTGTGGGGTGAAGCTCTGGCCCGGAGAGGAAGGAAGACGGACTGCCTTTAATTCTTTTGCGTTAAAGATGGCCATTGGATTTTATGGGGGTGGTAAAGTGTGCGGCGATACGACTCCGTGGTCTGCTTTTGGCTGATCCTCTGGTGGGGGTGCTCTGAGTGCTGGGCAGACTATTGTCAGTTGAGCTGCTGTGTGTCTCTGTTAGATCTTCATAGGACAAGAAGTCGGAACGAGTCCGGTCGGACGATAAACGCTCCCTCTCCTCTGATGCCAAGAGATTGGCAACTGAAGAGCCACGTTGGAAAGATGGGGTGCATCCGGCATGGACTGGAAATGAAAAATTGTGTGTGGGAGATAGAGAGGAGGGCATTGATCCAAAGGAGACGACGGAAGGCAGAGCGGTCGTAGGAGAGGAGGCTAGGGGGTGCTGCCGAGGTGCTTCGAAAGAGGAGGAGTGGACCGGAGGAGAGGCCAGATAGGCAAAGGCTGGCGGAGACTGAAAGACAGTTTGATAGGTGGGTGGGAAACTTGGAGTGGCCGATGGAGTTCCAAATCCAGGCGGGGCTGCAAACCTTGCAAAGGGGGGCGGAGGAGCCGAGAAGGCCCGGTTTTCAGAGAAGAGGGCTGCTAGCGTACCGTCGCCTTTGACAGATCCCTGAAAAGTTTGAACAGGAGAGGGAACAACGGAAGTCAGACACAGAGGAGGCGTTTTCAGCCGCAGACATTCGTTTTCGGACATTTCTGTCATGACATCTGAAAGAGAAAAGGTCAGCCGGCTGGGATTAGGTCAATTAAGTCTAAGTAAAAGCTAGGTGGTGGTGTTCTTACCCTGTCCTATCGGCAGTGGCGATTCGAATCTCATTAAATCCCTGTCGGGGAAACTCTGTTTCTCTGGCTGGATTTCCGGAGAAGGAACGCCGCTGGGGATGGGCTGACACAGAAGGTCCACTGGAGAATTCCTCATCTGTAGCAATTCTGCAAGAGAAACCTTGGTTAGACATTTTACGAAGACAAGTGGTATAAAGAGATTGAATATATATAATGGTTTGGAACAATGGAAAACAGCTATTGGAACTGCCCCTCCTCCAACCAGAAACTTATTTTTTGGATGCTTGCACTTTTTACAATTTGATTTTACCACCAATGTTTCTATGAACGTTCAGAATTCAGTCTTGAGAGATCTCCTTTTGAGAACTTATTTCTGCTTTAAATAAAGGAATAATATTCGTTTTCCCCCACTGTTCTGACTTCAGTCAGTTACCATCTTCGATGAAGCGACGCTAACATTTACAGTCTCCTTTCATGTAACAGAGCCAAGGATTATATTCATTTACTAAAACAGACCCAGAAATTTACAGAAGGTAAGAGCCTATTCTCTGTTGAAAATGCCAACTAAATTAGAAACAGGTTGATAAAATCCTGAAACAGAAATTTGGAGTATGGAAGAATACAGATCTTGATATAGCATTATTCATTTACTATTTCATAACAAAGTTTTGGTACAAAAAATTTAGATTGACTAAGAGAATCAGAGAAATAAATATTTATCCAATTTTACAATAAATCCAATTTCTTTGAAATATTGTGGCTACAATATAATTGCTTCAAAATAGCAACAAATTGAACCTTAAAAGAAATTCCAGGATAATCTATTGTAAATTCTAAGCATGATGACCAAATAAGGTCACTGGAAGCTCTCAAAATATTCAAATTTGTAAAGAGTGGCCGTTGCATTAATTTCAAAGAGGAAGGACAAGTATCTTATGCCTGGCAATCCTTATACCAAAGGGAACAGTTAAATTAAAATTATTTTGGAGAGATTTAAATTATTTTAAAAATTTTTTAAGAGAATTAGTTAAAAAAAATTCTCATTTTCTTAAAATAATTCTTAAAACTGTTCCATTTCTGCATTCCAATTTAAAGAATCCCGAGGAAGATCTCCTTTGAAGATCGAAAATGTTAGAATTTGCAATAGATTATCCTGGAATTTCTTTTCAAGTTCAATTTGTTGCTATTTTGTAAGATATATTCCAGGCTTGCACTGTTTGAGCTATAATTGCTTAATTTTGAGTTGGCCAAATTATCTCACTTGTCAAACAAAAATATGCTACAACTCCGTATTTCAGTTTAATGGCATCACATCAAACAAAAATAATTCATTACATAATTCTGACAATAGCTTTCCATCCAGACGATCATGTTGTCTGGATGGTTAGCTAATTTCTTGGCAAGAAGCAAAAGTATCCTAGTCTGTCCAATTTTTGAGCATAGTACTTTTTGTATCTGCTATTGTGTCAATAAAAGTGTATTTTTCATAGATCCCATTGACATCTAATCAAAAGGGAGAAAGAATAAGTAACTGGTAAAAGAGAATGACAAAATTATACTCCTACTATCTTTAACAAAATTTTTGAGAAAGTCAGTTTCTCCTTGAAGGGATTTCCAGACCAAAAGTAACCTTCTCAGTCTTATTTAATGAAAGGCAACAGCGATACACAAAGTGTCTACCTGGCGGGAGGAGAGAGGAAGGGAAAGAGGAGGGTGAGGAGATAGAAAGAAGAAAAAACGATTCCTCTGAGCAGCATACATAAGGTTACTACTCCTTACATGTTTAATGTTGGTGTGCAGGTTTTAGGCTGTAAGGCTGTGGGTCTAAAAAAAACTTGAATTGTAGCATACAGCAATAAGTAGTGCAGCTATATATAAGCTGGACAGAGTAAAGTTTATGGCTTTAAACTAATACTAAAATTAATACAGAAACTAAGCCAACAAGTCCTAAAAGAAGCAGAATAACCTAACTGAAACAGCAAATATACTGATAACTTACATCTAACTTAACTAACTTATTACTAACTTAAAACTAGTTATAAAGTTAACTTATTACTACTAACAAGAGAATGCAATGACATAAGACCTACAAGCAAGATGCCATGTATATAAACCGTACGTTTCTATATTCAACAGTTAACTCAACGGTGAGAGAACAACGTTTCTAAATGGACCGTTGAGTTCTCCGTTGAGACTAGTGACGTCAGCGCTGTTTCACCGTTGAGCTCAACGGTCTCAACGACCTGAAAGACCGTTGAGTAGTCAACAAACTAACATGGCGGCTTCCACGAAAAAGTAAATTTCGCTTATAGAAACTATCCATTCGCTGCTGTGGATGCTGTAATAGCGAACAGATTAATGAACAATCTGTATATGATAAAACACGTGATTGCACGATTATGTTGGATAATTTGGTCAATATTGAAATATAAAGATTTTTTCATTTGTCCAAAATTGATTACGACTGATATTTGGCCCGCTAAGTCTTCCTAATGATATAAATATTCAAGAAATTAATTAAAATTATTAATTAAAAAAAGACCCAGTATACAAAAAAATGATACAGATACGGGTTCATTTGAATAAAAGGATTTATTCGAATAATGGTTAAGCGAGTTACTTTAATTATTTAGCAAAACAGTCACAATCGCCACCTTCTCGTTACTTAAGTCAGCCATCTTGAAAAGCGACCTCTCAACGAAAGCGTTTCTTTTTTCTGCAAAACGTGACGTCAGATCGTTCAACGGAGGGACTCAACGGAAAATTCACTGTTGAGTCAACCGTTGAATATAGAAACATATGGAATGACTAAAGACAACATGAAGAGCAATGGAAAATAGACAAAACAGAATCCAAGGACTACAAAGAAACAAGAGACAACACAAAAGAACTAGCTGTACAATTAATCTTAACCAGAACTATACAATGCCAACAAGGAAATCTATGTGTTGTGTGTACCATCAGGGAGAGAGACTACAAAGGCTTTGCTGTAGGATATGAATGAAAGTAAGTGATGGTATATTGTATGCATCTGGATGAGATGCTGTACCAAAATTGCCACTATCCCTAATGTTAATATTCCACTGCAATAAGTGGATTAGCATTTGTTCCTTGTGCTGTCCTCAAGGTCAAACCTATGCAGATATTACTTGAAATTGCCATGGCCTGTAAGAAGCTAGGTGATGGTAAAGTTAGGGGAAAAGTGTCAAAGAGTTGCAATTGTGTTAACCCTGAGGATAAAAGTGTAGGCAAGCCTACCAGCAGTGTTATGGTTCCAGCTGTCTTGCCATAGAATGGTAATTTGTTTTTGACATGCATGTTAACATAAGATGTAGAAATATAACTGAAAGTGCTAATGACTCTAGACTTAGTAGCCAATTTAACAAAACTAAGTGGCCTTGTTTCCAAGGACCCCCTTATGACCCAGGACTCATTGAAACTCTACTTTAATGTTGTTAAGTGCCTGAAAATGTGACATATGAGATGCACAAGTTTAACAGTTATCAGACCTGCTAATCTGTGTAAAGCTACCCTACTATCAAAGTATATGTGGTAGTGTACAAAGCATTCTGTCCTGTCTACACTTGATGGTGATCATGCTCCTATAAATAGCCAATGTTTCTGCCTGAGCAATTGAAGTGTGAACCTAATTTGAAGCATGCTTGAGCAAGGTCTTGGCGTAAACTATGAATGCGACACCCACCTCTTTACCCATTTTGGAGACATCAGTGTAAATTCTAAACATTGGGGAAAAGCATAAGTAGGGAGGGTTTTTTTTATCTATGTCAAATTTTCTTATGGTCGGCAAGATGAGCTTGGGAAATCTTATCTTCCTTAATAATTTTAGCCTTCTTAGTATAAATATTTTAACTCTTTTGCAAATCTTCTAACCTGCCATCCGGGGAACAAAACAACAAATTTTAGTGACAGTGGTTGAATATTCCCAGAGACTAAAAGCTAATTTCTTTTGTAAAATATGCCATTTTAGATGCATTTGAATTCAATATTTATTCTTCTCAGAAAATAAAAACAACACAATTACAAGATTATCTTTGAAAATAAGGAAGACATTACCTATTGTCACATTTGTGTTGTAAGAAGAGAAGGCAATGCTATATCTTAATTTAGGAACTTCTTTTTTTGGAGAAAAAAATTTTTTTGAGATGATGTTATTTAAGTGCCTGAGAATGTAATTTTTGTACAAGAAAAGGGAATAAAAACATCTAACAAGTTTATTCTTTATAAGACTAGCATATCTAAGGCATCCTTTTCCACTCAGACTCCCAATTAGAATACAACTGATTTCTACCTCAGTTTGCCATTTTGGCAACCTTACTCATCCAACTATAAAACACTCATTTTTTAACTTCCCATTACCCCTCAATACTTTCTTTCAATTACTTTTTGTATCAATAAAATACATTAAATGTAGAAGTGGTATGCTTTCTACAGCCAGTTAGTTTTAAAAACATTAACAATACTAGAAGGGAAAGATGGATTTCCTATAGGCAATATTCAATAAGAACTTCAGATATCCAATACTTCTCATGATGGAAGAATGGAAATTAGTAATAAGTAACTATGAGCCCAATGGCTTTTTTTAATGATTTTGGACTCATCACACACCTTTCCAACTTCTATTCATTAACACACGATGTACCAGAATGCATTTTGGCTTATTTAACAGCTCTCTTCAGCTGGGTTACATATACACATTTAGACAATACGGTATTATAATTAAAACACATATAAAAGAATCTAATAAATTAAAATACAATGTACAGAAAAACCAACATTTATATCACTATATAATTAACTACACACAACATTACAACAATTATAAAAGACATAATTATTTATGTTAAATTGCCAAACACCATAATCGTACTGTGAGGCTCTGGACAGGTTTGAACCTTCACTGAAATTTGCATTAAAATAATTTATTTTTGAAAGAAAAGAAAAGTTAGAAATAATTTTTTCGTATGAAAATGTGACACAAACTTTTAAACTATAGAATAATTTAAGTCCTAAGAGGTCAAAATCGAAGTTTAATTCAATCCCAACCATCTCTGGTTGGGATTGAATTAAACTTCGATTTTGACCTTTCCTGTGATCTGAGTTCAGATCTTGTTACAGTTAGTAATGAGTGATCAACCTTTTGGAAAGCAAGAACAAGAAAAAGCCACCAATCAGAATGGGCAATTGAGGATAGAAATTAATAAAAATCTGAGAATTCAAGGATGTGACAGCTTCTTCTCCCGAAAGTTCAAACTGTCAGACTAATTGTTGCATGTGTGTCTCGTGCCCATCTTATTCTCTGTCTCCTTGTCCTCGGATCAACATCTGCCAATCACTGAAAGTTGACCTCATTGCCACGGAGTCATTAAGACCTTGAGGGAACTGTCATTCATGAACCAGGGACACTCCACTTGAGACTCTCTTGGAAAGGAGAGGAAGACCCAGAGGCTGCTACTGACTTAGAACTTCCAAAATTGCAGAGCACTTGTAAGCTCCTTTTGTGTCAAATAAATGGTTTCTTGTAACTATAAAGTCTATCTCGGTACCGATTGTACCCACATCTGAACTCTTTGACCCTCTTTACATGTTACCGTAAGTTCTTATGAAATAAAAACACAGTAAAACTTCAATATACAGACTCAAGTTAGAGAACAATAGAGTAAAAAAAATGCTAATTCTGAATAGATCTATGATCTGTATTTTTTACTTCTCTTGCATTATATAAAGAATCTTTGACAGTTCTTTTTTTGTTTTAAACAGCCCATGTAATTGAACATTTTGCTGAAAGACAACTTATGGAGTTGAACAGTTTTGCAGGCACATCTCTTGTTGAGATAATTTTCAGAAAATGTCTGAAATTTGGTGTTGCAGAGAAGATACAACTAACTGTCTGAAAATTTCATGGAAATCCAATAATTAGGATCACTTTAGATAGAATAAATAATAAAATTTGAGTTGGGGAAGTCAAAAGTAACATAAATCAGTGTCAGGAACCATGAAAAATTTCAACTTTGAGAAAATTTGAGTTAAGAAAAACGAGATGTTAAATCCCTATGCTATTCCAGTGACACCTACCGAGAAACATCTAACTCAAAATATTTCCTCGAGGAAATATTTTGAGTTAGATGTTTCTCGGTAGCTTCTTTCTAGCTCAATTTTTCTAACTCAAAATATTTCCTCGAGGAAATATTTTGAGTTAGAAAAATTGAGCTAGAAAAATGCATTTGAGGTAGTGAAAAATAAGGAATTTCATTAGTGTCCTTTCAAATAAACACGGTATTAATGTTACAGTAAAACTTCTCTACCTTGTTCATTTGAAAGGACACTAATGAAATTCCTTATTTTTCACTACCTCAAATGCATTTTTCTAGTTTGTATTATTAGATATAACTGTCAACTGTCAAGACCGACAGTGTTTCATAATCTGGTAATACCCAAGTTTGTAACAGTAGGAAGTCCATTCTCTTAAGAAGGCCAAGGTTATACTTAGTTGGTTCTCCCAGATTAAATTTTTCACAGTTAACATCTAAATACACTAAACTTACAAATTTTCATGTGAAGAGAAGAAATATCTCATACCAACCAAAAACTGATCATCATTATACATAGTTTCTATATGTAGCATCAAAAGTTTCCAATATACTTGTATATTATGATAATTCTCTAAGTATTTCGACAGTTACCATAAGACAATATCATAACACCACAAATATTTCATCTCTCCAAACAATAATGGATGAGTTCAAAATGCTAAATTTTAGGGAGTCTTAAATCAAAAAAGTATTGTCCGAAAAGAGTCGGCCTTACGAAAATAAAATAAACAGAATTATTGATGATACACTGTTTATTCCATGCTATTAGTCAGGAAGTTTTACTCTCCCAAGAATTTTTTTTCAAAAATAAGGGAAGTGGCCTTTTGAAATGATAAAAATTCTGATTGTGGTGACACATTCAAAATTACTTGTCAAAATCTGAATATCTCAGTGAAAACAGGATAAAATCCTGCAGTACAGATGTAGGGGGAAAAAAAATTCCAATAAGTTGGCTTAACTTTTCCAGCTGTTAATAACTTAAATAAATAAATAAAAATTGTATGTGGTACTATCTGATATAAAAGTTCCTTATAATAAAATCTTGTATTGTTAATAACAAAAAATGAAACTTCTAGATGTAGTTTAAAACATTTTTTATTTATTAAAATTCTTGCTGGATTTTATTGATATTGAGTTTGTTGCTCACAAACTATTATTTAGGATAAAAATGAATACTTTTAATATTCAGTTCTTGAGTGACTAGAAAGTAGATTCATAATAATACTTTACTCAACTGCTTTATTCATCAATTATATATGATATTTTTGGTTTAACCTTGGTAATATTTTTATCATAAATAATACAATTTTTGCAACAATCCATTTTATTTTGAATTCCAAAGTAAGAATTATCAAATTTTACAGAATATTTATGTATAACTTATATATGTATAAATTAATACTATTATGTAATATAGAAAATCATAATATAAAAATATTTTTTAAGATATAACAAAAAAAAAATAAAAAAAGGCACACATTACCTCCAGTTTGAACTTTGTTTATCAAATCGCAATCTTTCCTTAGGCAGTCCATCTTCACACTTTTACGCTTCTTCAGAACGTTGTCATCTCCACAGTTATGAATGTCCCGAGACAGAACAGGTGGCAGTGGAGATCCTAAATATTAGACAGGGCATTGAGTCACCAATAGAAGTCTCCTTAAATTCCAACTAAAGTTAAGCAACTTACATTATATAAATCAAAATGGCTAAAATTTTAAATGCTGAATTTATGTTATTGATTATAGATATTTTAAAATCTTTATTTTTTAAGTTTGCCTTTATTAAGTTGTTTTAAACAATAATATTCATTTAGAACTAACTATAGTAACTGATCAGTATCAAATAATTTATCATCATGTAAAGCAGTACTATATATAGGAATGAAACAAATATCCAACAAAATTAAATTATTAAAACTATTATCATCTTACTTTTTAAAATGGAATAATAATATTTTTTCAATGACCTTACTAAAAATTTATTTCATTAAAGCAATCATTCTTATCAATGTAGTGGTTCACACTCTATAGGAGTGCAAGACCTCTTTTCTAGGAGCATAAAATAATGACCATTACCATCATTTATCTTTCAGTATAATTCCTGAATATACTTCAAACATAATCAGTGTTTGGCTTGTGAACACTCTAAAGAAAAATTATCTAAGGATAAATGTGAATCCATATCCACATCAAACTAACCTTAGGCAAAGCAAAGAAATCTGATCGTCAGGGTTTTCTGTAATCCAAATGGGCAAATTGAAATTAGTAGTTTTAACCTTGAAACAGTTACAAGTGTTTACCTTTCCTCTGAGGAGAAAATGTGCCCTATGGTTCCACGGGACCTCTTGTACCTAACTACATTGTGCCATAAGGTACATTCAACAGCTGCAATACTGCAAATACACTAATGGAGCCTGCAACTTTACTCATTGACTATTCATTACTCATTATTCATTGATTATTTAACAACAGCTGTTATAACATCCTCAAGTGATACATTTGTTCTTTCAACATCATTCTCTAGAGAGAGAATGATAACTCAATTCAAACTTAAGAGTGAATGGTCTCTCAGTCTGGAGTGAAACACTTGTGGAGTGAACAGTCCTTAGCGTCTCTTATGATGGCATAATTTCCAAAATGTAGCTGCAGCACCGCTGTTTATAAATTACATTGCACAAAATGCAAGTTCTGACAAGGTGATGACCATTGTAACCAATAAAAGCAACATTCAACAATTGTGGCCAATTTCATATCTGCATGCAAAACATGCTTATGCAAAGAAACTGCTTTTTCATTTGCTTGCAGTGCCAAAAGTGCCACAGTGGCAAATTTCAATACTAATATTTTTAAGAAAGTATCATCCACCACATCTTATCACATTTGGATTGCTAACTATATCTGTAGACAATGATGATATCATATACAAGGTCTGGTCAAAAGTATCTGATCTTATTTGTTTTCTTTGGAAGTATTTGCAAGCTTGGAAGGTACAAGGTTCCTACCCTGCAGTCAATATCAGACAGCTGTGATAGTTGTATGTTACACTGTTATCACATCAGTGATTAAGTGAAAATGGTGTAATGTGACAGACCCTGATTTCATGAAGGTTATAACCAGAGATGAGACCTGGGTCTACAGGTATGACTCTGAGACAAAGATACACTAATCCCAGTGGAGAATTCTATGGTCTCCACAGACAAAGAAGGCATAGCAATCATATAGCAATATGACCTTTCTCAACCACCAGAGCATTATTCTTTAAGTTGAGAAAATTATCAACTTTAATTTTCTCAATTTTACTTATCCAATATATGGCGTGAAGTCCAATATTATTTTCACTATTGAGCATTATTCTTCATGAGTATGCTCCTCATGTGACAAAAGAGTGCCTGATTATTTTATATCACCTAAGAGATGCCATTAGGTGCAAGAGACCACAGCTTTAGCAGTCTCCTAACTGGTTCACTGATCACAACAATGCTCTGGCCCACAAACCATAGTATCTCAAACATTCCTTGCAAAACAATGTATTGTACAGGTTCGGCACCTCCTCAGACAGGTTCGACACTCCCCAGACATTTGGTCAATATTGATATTTACATGTCCATTAAGACGATTCAGTCTACTAAATGCCACATATATATTTTCATTATATCATTGGAAATATCATTGAAAAAACTATAGTTCCATTTTTTTGATCAAGAGAGAATTTCACATTTTTAAGTTTAGTTTTCTTACTTAATTTTAGTAACAAAATTATATAAATTAATAATGATAAAATTTGAAAATATGCAATAAAATTGGGACACTGCAAATCAGTTTTGTACACTAATAAATTATTAGAAATCATACTATTACAAATATTTATACAGTAATTGTGTTTTTATTATGTTAATTGTACTGATGATATTTGAAAAAAAAAAATGAAAGTTTGAAAAGCTGTATGTATTGTATGTATATACACTGTATATATTTGTAGTTTTAATTCTGTTAATATATTAAAATGAAAATCCCTCAGTGGAATTCTTTAAGATGAAATGATTCACCAAACATTTAAATATTCTAAATTGGTCATTTTTCTCTGATAGTAAATTTCTAATGCTTTTAAGATTAACTCTGGTTCAGTGTTTCTCAAACTTTGTTCATGCAACCCAAATGTTTATAATATAAAATTTTTAAAAAGCCTAGTAAACTGGTGTCACCATAAATTATATAATTATGCATTATTGATAATGATTTCTACTTGTGAAATACAACATTGAGTAAAGAGTGGTTTGGGCCAATTTCAATTTGTATATATATGGGTTAATTTTTAATTAACCCATATATATCTAAATGACATTGCTATAAACTAAACAAAGTGAAGAATGAGATCAGAAAGGTATGGAAGAAATGGCAATACTCTGGATCCTAGATACTTATATATCTGCAATGTTAGGACCAAAACATATCAGAATGAATGTAAACTACAATAAACAAATTACTTTAATGAAATAGGATTGAAAGTGAAATTTTGAAGTAAGCTGTTTTGGAATTTCGTCTCCACTTTCACAAAAAACAAACACAAAAGAAAAGCCGTTTAAAACTGTTGGTGACAAAGCTATTTATTCTACAATCAATCTAAAAAATACTTAAGTACAAAATCCATTCTATTCTAATTCAGCACCGAGGTGAAATCTAATGTGACCCGAGTGACCACGTGCGTCAACCAGGAGGAGGAGCTGAGTCTATCTCTGGCCTGGCAATCTCTGTTGGATGCCAACTCGCAGCTCCCCCACCAATGCATGACCGCGCATGTCAGGGAAGACCTACTTCGCCAGAATGACACCTGATTGTACAGAATAACACACACTCCGTCCAGTGAAATTCCTTAACCAGTTGACCTGAAGAACAGTGTGAATGTTCGAAAATGTTTGTCTACCGCGACACATTATGCATCAGTTACAGGTTACTGAGTGTTTAAAAAATATTTTTCAAAATAACTCCTTATACCAAATATATATTTCTTTGTCCCCTATCACATACTGAAATGATTTATCACCATAATTTTCAGCAGATAATCCATGAGTTATTTGTGAAAGATAGTTTGAAAGAGAGCCCAGGTTATATGACAATTTAAAATTCCAATCATGAGTATCTTATTGTCGGATCACAAACCACAAAAAACAAATCATAATTAATCATTTGAACAAATATTAAAATCATAGATTTGTGACAAAATTCTAATGATGCATTACAAAATTAAAACAAGTGAAATTCATGAAAAAATCCTATTTAATAGGTTGTATCATCTTGAACAAAATTAAATATAAAATAATTTTACTGTAATATCAATAATAAATTATTCTCTGTTTAATTTTTTCCAAGTTTGTTTTATTACTACTACTCAACAAAAATAATTTAGTCATAAAATAAAAACAAACTGTATTATATTTTTACAGTTAATTGCGTAATTGGGATAGTTCATAAATACATGCATACAAAATACAGGGATGGCCAGTGAGTACAGAGAATGTCTTTGCTAACATGCAGTTGAACTGAATAATTTAATATTTCAAATTTTATACAAATTTTAGTTTAATGTAAAATGAATTTCTACATTAGAATTTTAAAAAATAAAGCAAGAANTTATTTAGCAAAACAGTCACAATCGCCACCTTCTCGTTACTTAAGTCAGCCATCTTGAAAAGCGACCTCTCAACGAAAGCGTTTCTTTTTTCTGCAAAACGTGACGTCAGATCGTTCAATGGATGGGCTCAACGGAAAATTCACTGTTGAGTCAACCGTTGAATATAGAAACGTATGGAATGACTAAAGACAACATGAAGAGCAATGGAAAATAGACAAAACAGAATCCAAGGACTACAAAGAAACAAGAGACAACACAAAAGAACTAGCTGTACAATTAATCTTAACCAGAACTATACAATGCCAACAAGGAAATCTATGTGTTGTGTGTACCATCAGGGAGAGAGACTACAAAGGCTTTGCTGTAGGATATGAATGAAAGTAAGTGATGGTATATTGTATGCATCTGGATGAGATGCTGTACCAAAATTGCCACTATCCCTAATGTTAATATTCCACTGCAATAAGTGGATTAGCATTTGTTCCTTGTGCTGTCCTCAAGGTCAAACCTATGCAGATATTACTTGAAATTGCCATGGCCTGTAAGAAGCTAGGTGATGGTAAAGTTAGGGGAAAAGTGTCAAAGAGTTGCAATTGTGTTAACCCTGAGGATAAAAGTGTAGGCAAGCCTACCAGCAGTGTTATGGTTCCAGCTGTCTTGCCATAGAATGGTAATTTGTTTTTGACATGCATGTTAACATAAGATGTAGAAATATAACTGAAAGTGCTAATGACTCTAGACTTAGTAGCCAATTTAACAAAACTAAGTGGCCTTGTTTCCAAGGACCCCCTTATGACCCAGGACTCATTGAAACTCTACTTTAATGTTGTTAAGTGCCTGAAAATGTGACATATGAGATGCACAAGTTTAACAGTTATCAGACCTGCTAATCTGTGTAAAGCTACCCTACTATCAAAGTATATGTGGTAGTGTACAAAGCATTCTGTCCTGTCTACACTTAATGGTGATCATGCTCCTATAAATAGC